GAAAAACAAACCCGATGGTTTCATAGGCACACAAAATCCAGGCACATCAGACTCTTGCTATTCCGCAGATAACAGTGTATCATCTGTACTAAAAAGTCTAAAGCATAGGACATTTCCTTCACACCCTTAGCTTGATCTCTTCTGACTTAGAAATATTTACTTGGTAACAATCTCTCTCAGCTTTTTTCAGGGGAGGCTTTTAAATTCTTACTCTGTGGCAAAAGACACTGCATTAAAAATGTAAATGAAGTTTATTCAGAAATGTACATGTGGTAACTAGTGTCCTTTCAGTGACTTTACAGTGACTCATTCTAGACTTTCAAAAAACACATCACTAACATCACACACACCACTATTGATAAGAGTAAAAAAAGTTTCCTGTAACTTGAAAAGATGGAAACAATTTCTTTACTCAACAGTCACTACTTGGAAGAGTTATTAAACAGAGGTCATAGAAAGGCTTCATTCTAACGAAGTAGTGCTATAAGTTTAAAGTGTGGGGGAGAGAACTAGCACAATCATGGATTTCCTTTACACTTGTTCTCAAAGCAGCTTTGACATGGTTAGAGATAGGGTAAATGTGACAGAATTCTCTGAATCTGCCAGGAAACACATCAGGAGGAAGTGATATTACCCTGTCCAGATCAATGTAACGAAGAGAAGAATGAGTTCTTCTAAGATAGTTTTTGCTTTAAGATTACTCAGACCTAAAAACTTTTCTATATTGTAAGTGTACTCTGTACCTCCCCAATCCAAACCAGCTGTGGATAATTTTAAGAGGATGCTACAAGTCACCAGCCTGCACAGAAACAGAGGAAGAGGGATTAAGCTGCTGAGCAGAGACTGCAGCTGACCCAGCTCTGCTTCCTCAATCTGTCTACACTTTCACTGGCCTAGTGCTCCTCACACTAGCCAGCTGATTGACTCTAGCTTGTAACTGATTTGACCTTGCCTAATTTCTCTAAACCCTCTTTTTCTCTCATTTAATCTGAGAGTAGTAATCTTCCTTCACTACTGCAGGGAAAACTTTTTTAAAAAAAATACCAAAACAAAAAACAAAACAAAACCAAAACAACACCAAGGGACCAACGCAATTGCCCACATGCAATCAGAAGGATCACTTGCTATTAGGCCAGAAGTGTAGCAAAGCCCGGTAGACTTTTCTTGCTAGCTTTAGGAAAGCACACACAAACTAAAAGCAATAGGGTTTTAAAGGCTTATATTAAGAAGTTAGCTTCAAACTGCAACAAGCAAATGATTTTATCAGACCAGTTCAGCTGAAAACAAGACTAATTCCCTGAGGAAACAAACCTGAGGTTTTGCTGATTAACTATAGACAAAATGAGACAATACCCATTCTTTAGCCCTGGCTCTCTGTATGTTACAAAAGGATGGGACAAGAGGGGTCAGAGTGCATGTAGCTTAGCCAAAACAAGTCAGTTATAAGATGTGAACCTCTAACCTTTTTGAGAAAGTAGAACATATCATATTGAACACAACAGCTTCTCCCCAGTGTGGAGACAGAAAAAAATAGCAGCCCTGTCACCCAAAATCCATCCTTCATTTGTTAATAATTTGCTCAAATGTCCTGCTCAAAGCCCAGAAGCCTGCTAAAGACTTGAGCCATATTTGCTTCCCAAGGGTTTTATAAGCTGAACTGGCAAGTGAGAGAAAAAGAAAGAGAGGATAGAGGAGAAAAAGGCTGACAAAGCAAACCTTTGCTTATACATAACTTCAAGGATTTTCTTTGTCATTTCTGGGACTTAGGTATATGCAACATAAGTTGAGCTTCCATTACACTTAACTTTTGTATTATTTTACTAAGTAACAACTCATACATTTCTTTTGTTGAAGAACATCCATCATGTATTGGACTATTCTTTATACTTCAATATGCTTACACAAAAGTTTAAAAGCTTAGCATTGGGAACTGAATGCCTGACCAAGATAAGATGACATTCAGAATATATAAAAAAGTAACTTAACATAACAAAATGACACCTTACTGCAGAATTACATCTACTATTAAATGTTAGAGTTCTATCTCCCTCTCTGTCATTATTACTAACCAAAACTAAGAGTGACCCAGAAACTGTGATTTAAATCTAGCATTTGTGTGTGTAACGTCAGATCAGTTCTTATGTGGGAGTAATGATACTCTGTGTTCCAAATTTAACACCAGTGTCTTGCACCTACACCTACATGAACATTTAAAAGAAAACTGCACAATTTTGGTTAAGCATTGCTATGGACTATGTGGACCTGGCACTGAATCCCAAGAGCTTCTTAGAAAAGCACCACCCCCCTCACAAAAAAAGGAAGGTTATGTTGTAAGTTAACTTCCTCCCTATTTGCAGTGCTCCATGTTAAAAGCACAATTACTTTGAGACTGACACCCACACTCCAAGACTGGCTAAATGTATTTATGGTATTAAATATTGCATTTCAAGCTACTAAGGCAAGTCCAAATTAGAAGGCCCTCTGCTCCCCACACCAGGTCACAGCAATTCCAGTGACAAGCTAAATAGAAGAGAACAAGAAGGCAGCCCTTTCTCCAATGAGGAAGAAGTTATCCAGATTTTCTATTTCCTTAAAAAGTGGCTTTTGTTTAAGCTCTATAAGTTGCATGGTTTATAGTTTACAAGCTTTGGTAACGAAGGCTTTCCAACTCCATAATTACTTTTTTTGGTGCAGGTGTTTCAGAGGCCTTTGAGCATGAGTACCCAAAACAGAAGTTTTGATTTTAAGTTTCATATTTGCTGGCAAAACACATTGGTCAAAAATATCTATTTGCTTACAGAATCTTAGCAAAAAAAAAATCTGTCATGGCCCAATAAAAGCATTTCAAGTCACATCTAGTGTCAAAACAAAGTACATTGACATTAGAGGACCTTATTTCTACTAAATCAGTTTTGTTTTATATGTCTTCATACAGTTAACAATCAAAACCTGTATTTCACAGCTGAAGGAGTTGTATTTCAGGCTACTATTAATTTGATCAAGAGTTCACCAAAAGCCTGACAGGCAAACTCATTAAATTAGAAACATGAACTACAGCTGCAGAATGACCTCATACATTCAGACTGTCTACAAAGAAAAAACACAGCCATTCTCATTTGTACAGAAAAATCAAGAATCTTACTAAAAGACTCCAGATCAAAAAATCATTAACAGGTAATAATCTAGGAACACCACAAAGATTGGAACTTGAAATGCACTTTAGCTAGAAACCAAAAAAAGACCACCTAGAACATGAGAAAAACGGAAAAGCATAACTAAAGATTGCATCATACATGGTAGTAATTGTGAAAAGGAAGGAGAGATGATGTGGATAAACAACTGAACATGAGACAGTGCAGTATCATGACAAAACAGGGACAGTGTAATCTTTAGATGTATTAGCCAGAGTCATGAAATAGAGTATGTTCCTGCACTTAACTGCTTTACCTGTCTCATTACAAGATATTATGAAAATCTGCATGCAATTCTGGTACACATAGCTTAAGCAAAAATATGGAATGGGAATAGGAGCTATAAAATGATTAAGCACTGATGATTTGATCAAACAGAAAACCAAGTTAGATGTATTCACATTTAAAAATGAACACAATTCTAATTGGGTGACAACTATCAAAAAAACAACTGATCATTATGGGATTCACCATTTCTTCATTTTATGAAATCAAGACCAGAGTACTTTTTGGGAGACCTGCATCAGTCTAACAATGGAAGCAGGATGGCATTTAAAGTCTGTGGTAAAGTAAAAATCATGCAAAATGAGTACTGGCTCCTCATCTTCCAAAGTCATATTGCTTGAAGTAACCTTTAAACTTTTTTTTTTTGAGTAGAAGATCGACCTAAACTCAGCTATTCTCTTGTTATCTTACTAGATGATAAATGATTCATATGCTGTACTTATCTAAGTATTTCTAATGTACTTATCACAGCATTATCTAAGCATTATGCGATTAAAAGAAATGATTGCTTTATCTTCTAAAATTTAGTGCCTGCTGCACTACAGGAAAAATATTCAAAGTGAAAATTCTTTATGCAAGCTCCTTTAAATTTATTTGTACATTCCATATATGAGGAGATGAAAAAGATGTAAGTAGTTGAGAAATCATAGGGAAAAGGCAGCTTTGACACAATACAGTAAAATCACTACCTTGAAGGAAAGATTTCAGAAGATACACACTAGCAATACCAGTTTTAAAAAGAGGTAAGGTAGAGTAACTAGCTTGTAACTTAGGAATAATAACCAAGAAAACCTTTGCAGATTGGCACAGCAGAATTCAGACAGGACAACAGTATGTAAGTATAGGAAGGACAGACTACAGTAAGGCATCAAGATTTCTCAAAGCCAAGAAAATATAAAGAACAGTGATTTGTGGTTCTCTCAAGGGAGCAGTGAGTTCATTGAACAGTGAAAGCTCCACAAGGAACTGAAAGCATAAGGAACAACACAGAGGCCAAAGGCTGCATCTTCAGATCCTACAGTGACATGGTAGCAGTAAGTAACATTTTGGTTTCAAGATTTACGTAGGGGGAGTAAGAGGTTTACAATAAATCCTCCAATATTGGTCATAGCAGAAGAGCAAGCACAGAAAAGAATGGTTGCTGGAATCAAAATGTGTGGTGGTTTTTTGGTGTGTGTAGGGTTTTTTTGTTTTTTAGAGAGGATGTTTTCAATCTATTATTTAGCAAAAATTACCAATTACAAGACAAAAACAAATACAGAAGTCAGATTTTAAGAGAGTGTTGCCTGTAGCATGGTGCTTGTACAGAAGTAATTAACAACAGCTCACAACTATGCCCATAAGATAGATTTAAGGCCTTTGCTTATAAAGGAGGCATGTTCAACAATATAGCATTATCCCACTTTGAAAAACAGTGCTTTGTATTCACAGTAGGTTAATAAAGAAAGTGGAGGAACAAGAAAAACCACAAAGCACAAAAAGTAATCAGTATCAAATTACACATTTAATGCCATCACTTGTTACCTGGATTTCTAATTCAGCAATGTGCTGTTGGAGTTCGGCCACAGCTGCAATGCGGTCTGCCTCACGGAGCCGTACTGCCATCACTTCTTCTTTACTCTGAAAGCAGTAATAGATTGAAGCTAACAAATAATATCAGTTTCAACTGATTAAAGCCTGTGCACTGCTTTTACCCAGAATCATGTAAGTAAAGAAAATTTAATACACTGTTGTGTGAAATATACCTATTGATGAGACATATTCTAAAGAACCCAAATTTAATTTTGACCCATAGAATTGTGTTGTCACCTAATATCAATTCTAAAAAAAAAATCCGTGTAGTTTTGAAAACATGCTGTTATCAATTTCCAGGTCCAGAAGACAGCTCTCTTGTGTTCCAGAAATGTTATATTGTAAATTAAGAAAAAAGTATCAACATAAAACCAGCTCATGCTTCAACTTCTAACTTTTATATAAGAAACAGCAAAGCTACACAAGAGTTACATATTTCATCATTCTCTGTCTAAAAGAAAAAATTAAAAACAGACACAAAAGCACAGATAATTCTCAACATCATTTAAGTCCAGGTATCTTAGCCATAACATACAATGAAGATTTGCAAGACAGTTTAGAATAAAATTCTAATGCCTGTAACCTACAATCAGACTCCTGGTGCAAGTTTAACCTAAAAATGCCTATAAGTGATAGGTGATTTGAGTTTGTACAAGAGAGAAGGAAATTGCCTTATTTCTGTGTTATGAGGCAAGTCCTCAAGACTTCAGAGCACAAAGCAGTTAACATTGTCAGCAGCTTGGTACAACCACAGAGAGAAAACAGTGATAGATACTGAGTGAGCAATACTTTCAGTTGGTGTGCAAATAATTCTAGGGAAGAGGCAGACTAGGCTCAGGTACACCTTTTGTGACACTGATGTAACTCTGGAACTGATTTACAGTAACTACAGTTTGCAGTATTTCAGTTATTTTAATGTGTGCTTCAAACTGACAGTACTTAGCCACCCTTCATTAGACAGTTTGGTCGAGACTGAATTGAACATGCCAAAGCTTATCTATAGTAGCAACTTGAAAACATGCTGGTTTTTTTGTTTGTTTTTGTTTTTTTTATAAAAGATTCCTATAGTGGTACATCATCTACAGGATGATTACAGCATTTGTAATCAGTGGAGTCCATTTCAGAGGAATCCATCATGTGCTAGCCAGAGTTTAGACATTATTGCTAAATTCTGCTGCATGATTGCTCGAATGAAGCCAAAACCCACAAGTCCACAGGATTGCATGTATTTAACCGAAAGCTAAGGGACAGACTGGCTTGGTTTGACTTTGGTATCCGAGATGAGTCAATAGTGTTGCTCTAGATTGCACTGATGCTTTATCTCTGAAACAGAGCATGTTCTCAATAATGACCACAAAACTTGATATGGTAGGAAAGACAAGACTGGGGTAGGGGACAAATCTTATGTTGTAAATTCTTTAGCAAAGCTGATTAGAAAGATCAGTTCTGTGTGTCAAGAAACAATTTTAAATTAAGTCTTTGCTGTAGAAGCAGTAGTCAGATAAAAAGGAAAAAAACGTAACAGTACACACCAGTGACAGAAAACAGTTGTCATATGGGTGGTATGAGATGCAACTTGCTACAAAAAGTTCAATGTCTGCTTACATACTTTAAGCTATCCTTTAAAGAAAATAAAGGCTCCAGAAATAACGTACCAGTTCTTTTGCATAGAAAACACAGTTGGGGAGTTGAAAAGTCCAAACATATCTTTTTTTGACACACCTCTTCGAGCAGAAATATTGCTACTTAGCCAAGATGTAGTGACAGAAATAAAACCAGAGCATGATTTTGGATGACTTGAAACAATAGGGAGAAAAAATCAAGCATCAGTTTCTAATGCAATTGGAAATAATAAACTTGCTAGATTTAAGGAGATGCAAGGTAGAACTTTTAAAAATATTTAGTGCTACAAAAACTTAGCATTTGTCTGTATTGCTCCATGACATTACCTGAAAGATTACTGAAGCCTTCTTCATCAGTTTTGAATACAAAGCTGTTGTATCAGTAACATATTAAATAGCTTTATTTCAGGTATTTACACAGTATTACTGTCTTTTCAATTCAACCTACCTGCTATTATCTGCATTTCAAGCCAAATTTAAGTTGGTAGCAATACTATTTAAAGTTACAGATGCTGAACCTACTTCTACAAGGACTGTAAATATGACAAGTCTGCTGTTACTGCTGGAGGCTAGTCCTTCACACATGTAACAAATACCTTACATAGTAATCATAGGACACGCTAGTTTCTCGTACATGTAGTCAGTATAAAAAAGCCAGTAACATAGCAAGGCTTTGGCTTGACAAGTATAACAGTGTTTCTCTACTTTAAATTTCAGCTTTTTTTCTCTCCTTTCAATTCACTTTAAAAATTAAAAATCTCACTTTCCTCACACAGTGAAATAACCTTAAACAATCCCATGCAGGAATTTCCTTCACTTATTGTGATACAGAGGTGGGGATACAGGAACCTATAATGGTCTCTTCTATAACAAGAAGAAGTGAAAGCATTTGGCAAGAATCTTAGATTAAGCAAAAATCACGCTTCTAGTAGTTTGAATGTGGAGAACAAGGGACAGGAAACAGAATGCCAATCCTTACAAGTAAACTGTCAGAGGACAATGGCTTTTTATATCCTCATTTTCCACTTAACTATATCTTATCATATAGTTAGATTTTGAAATTGAAAAGTTTTTCATAAGTTTGAAACAGCAACAGGAAGCTCAATACCACATTATGTCCCATTTAAAGAGTGGGAGAACACTTACATATATTGTTTAACATGGCTTAATTTTTGACAACACAGCATTCTTAAATCTGTAAAACATTGCTGAATTGTTTGTATAAATTATTAGAGAACGAAAGTTCACAAGTGTCAGAAGTAGAAGGGAAAAGAGAGTATGAGGGGAAGCTACACTGAAGAAAGATAGTTTCCAACAAGTTAAATTTGAGCATCTTTAGATACAGTTAGCAAAAAACCTTGTGCATTTAAACAGTACAGGAGTCTATACGGTATTATACTAAGCCTCATTACAAGGAAGTCACAGTCTAGCTCACAGTTAAACAGTAGAACTGCAGGTAACATACACATCAAATTGGTAATATTTCATTTTATATCATATACATCAACTTGGAAAACATGTTACAATAGAAACAGTAATCATCTTCCTATCAGTGACTGCAAAACAAGTTTCAGGATGTAATGTTAGTGTATGTCAGTACCACTATTTCACTGGCTATTGACCACTGCCACTTTCAGAGAATCTCTAAAAAAATCTGACTGGTGTTCTGTCTATTACTATCACACTTTTCTCTAACCCATGTTAGAACACAAGTTTGCAAGCAAATTATCCCAGTCAGAATAGCCATGTGTATCAACTCATTAGTCAGGTTAGACATGTTACTGGTTTTATAGTCAAGATAAAGACCTCAGAATATTAACTGCACCCTCTCAATCTCCTAAGCATTAATGAAGACCTTCAGTATTAAAAACCAATCAAAGGAATTATGGGTTATATGAAAAGATATATCACCATGATTGTGACTATTAAAAAAGATCACTAAGAATAATCTCAACATTAAAAAACAGCACTTAGGAAACCAGTGATTATTCAATAAAAGACTATTCGGGTATCTTTTGGAAATAAGATTTAAGTAAAAAGTTGTTTTCATGCTTCTAGCAAATAATATCTTAATTTAGTGATTTGTCAACTAATACTGCCCTTTTCTGAAATAAGTATCTGTAGCAATTTCAGGAAAATTTTCATCTAAGTTAAGAGATAAAAGCTTGTAAGACTTATCCTTTATTTCTTGTCCATATTATGTGTGCACAAGTTAAAGACAAGTTATTTGTAAATGGTTAGGGATTTAGTTACAAGATTAACTAATTAAGCCTCAGATACAAGCATCAGATTGGGCTCTCTGTTGTGCATTGACAGTAATAAAAATGACTTTTGCCCAGTGTTTTTGGGTTTTCCCCTTAAAAGTCCGGTTGCTATTAGGCAATGACTACTGTAACACTCCCTTCTGTAGGCCTCTCCAGTCAAATACTACTTTTACTCCCTTTTTTTGAACCTAACCTAATCCTGCAGTAATAGTCAGTGTTGAAGTAATGAACCTCTTCTGTCACTAAAGACAGAGTACACAGTAACCAGAATCCGTTGTATAAGAGTGTCTCTTTTTATGTATTAGACACTTTTCAGAGTAGAATCACACTTTAAAGTAAAAGTCTATCTTTGCGGGACCACAAAGAAGCAGCTCTGTCAAAACCTCAAGTGATTTTTGTGAGATGGTAAATTCAAGATGATATTGTCAAATCCGTAAAAGAAAGTTGTGGTTTTGGGATTTCTACTTTTCAATTAAGACACAATTCTATCCAATAATAGCAGACAAGACTAAAAAGTGCATATACATGAGCACACAAATAGTCTATTCAATGTTGTTTACCTTGCATTCAATCTCTGCTTGTCTACGTTTTGCTTCATTCAACTGAGCAAGAAGTCCTTTGTTCTGTGCAGAAAGATACTGTACCTTCCCCTGTAGGTTGGTAACCTCTTGCTCTGCCCTTCGTAAATGGTTACTATTGATCTGATTCTGAAATTTATGACAAAAAAAGGAAAGAATATGTTAAGGAAAGATCTTCGATATTAATTTAACTCTGAAGTCTGACAAGAAAATAGATAATTTACTATTAAAAAATTCTGATGAAGAAAGCATTCAGAATTTTCCAAATATAATCAGAAAAATTTGGATAACATTTGGTTTATGACCAGGATATTCAAATTGCTTTTAAACAGATGACTTATTGTAAGAACATTATTGTAAAGCTCCTGTACATATGGTTTTGGGTTTTTTTTCCAATCTTTTGATTAGGTAAGGCAAAGATTTTGTGAATTTGTACCCCAACTACAGCAAAAGTTGATGCATCCAAGAAACTTCAGGTATGTCAGAAATACTACGTGCGCATTTCTGTCCAGTGAATTCCTGAGAGTAACATGGCACCTTAATTAAGATCCTACCTAAAGGTCTTGTGACTTTAATATATATAATTCACACAGCAGGATACCTATGCCCCCTACTGACTGAAATAAAAATACAGATAGGAAAAAGCAACAAAACAAAAGCACTTGTTAACTAGTGAAACAGTGTTAACACTTCAATGAAAATTTTAAAAGTTAAGGCAAGAGGAAACTTATTCAGTTGGTATAGAAAAAGTGGTGCCTCCATCAGAAATAAGCCACCACGTGCCTTGCAGGTAGCTCATCTCTCTTCAGTAGCACATCCTTACATGCTCTCCTGGTTTCTGGGATTGGTTTGTCAAGGTTTTTTTGTTTGTTTAGCCTTTTGGATGCACAGGTCTCCTTCAAGTAACAGTTACATTTAGCAGCTATTTCATGGGAAGATTTCTCAAAAGCCTTTACAAATACTTCTCGATCAACAGCACATTGTGCTTATTGATTCAGTTGTGAGTTCACTAATATAATATGAACTCACCAACTTTACTGCACTTTCATTTCAGATTTGTTTGCTTAATAACAACTTATTCCATAGTTGCACCAAAAAAAAAAATCTTGGCAGACAAGTTATTTTTGTCTTTTCTGCACCAATCTCAGCAATGGTGAATCACACTTTTCTTTCCTGGCACATGAAAGGTAAAGCTTCTGCTAAAAAACCCAACATGCAGCTGTTTTGCTCAGAGTCCACACTTGAGTAACTAGATTCATGACCTCAGTGGATAATCTAGTATAGGCAACTTCACAAGAACAAAGAAAACACTACTATTTAAAGAATTAGAATTACTATTATCAGAATCATCAATTAGGTTTGTAAAATTTTAAACACCTTAAATGTACTTTTGTTGTTAGACCAGTTACATTTTAATGAATTAAGATTCACACATATTCACAGAGTCTACCAATTAGTCCAAATGAGAAATTCAGAAAGCATAGTCCTGGAAAAGACAAGGAAGAGACATTAAAGTAAGTCTTTAGGCATTAAAGCACTAGATTCTCCCTCTTAGTCTAACAGCATTAAAAAAGTGCATTTTGTAATTAAGTCATGCCTGTAGATGGTAAAGATCATCATTGGATTATCTACCATTTGACACCAATTTGCAAGCATTCAGCTCAATTCACACATGCCAGTGTTCAATAACATACATACCTGTGTTTCCATCTCCATCATTCTTTGTTTGGTCTCTTTCAGTTCAGCCTGAGTTTCTGCTTCTCTCAATCGGACTGTCATCAGCTCATCCTGTAGCTCATTCACTGTGTTTTTTCTGGGAGGATCTTTCCATCTCCCAGTGGTACGAGCTAGATGACGCTAAAAAAATAACATGCCATTGCTGATAATGCCTGCTCTTTCCTGGTGTTCCCTTATTTAAGGTCTCAGAGTTATATGGGGACAAGCTGCTACAGTGCTCCTGTTTGTCCTAAAAACTAGAAATCCATGCAAACTTACTAGTTTTAGGAAGAGACAATTAAAAGGCTGAAGACAGTAATTCCCAGCTACAGTAAGTCAGTGAATTGCAAGTATATCCCGAGGCTTTTGCCTGTTTCTAGCCCTTATTAACATTTAGTGAAGTAGGAATACTGATCAGGTACTTCCTTTCTACCAGGATGGTTAGCTAGTAGCACAGGCTCTCTACCATCTCTAACAACTAGGGATCAATTTCTAACACCCTTTTGAAGCAAAATTTCTTGTGGCAGCTGCGTTTAGAGGTTTTCTCACCTCAGCAGCTTGATCCACAATCACTAGTTTCTACTTGATCTCTACATCTCAAAATTATGTAGTCTTTTGCTTTATCATCATTCATTGAAAATAAAAACTGTTAAAAGTGCATCACTACCCATACCTGCCAGTGTTCCTCCAAATCTTTGACTTGCTGCCGTAGTTCTTTGAGACCTGTCAGAGCTTCTGCTTCTCTTAATTTTACTGCAATCAGTTCTTCTTGTAGTCTAGCAAGATTTTCCTCATCAGGGAGAGAGCTGTTCCTCTGCAACAAGGACCATCCTCTTAAATATGTATTTGAATAAAATTGTGCTTAGCAAGACACACTCCAAGAACACAGACACGGAATGATAACTCTTATTACTAACCAAACGTTCTTAATTACGCATACCTTGCAAAATAAAATCCCTCAAAAATCTAAGTTCCTGGATATAGCAAGTATGAATATCTTCCAACTGCCAACTACAGAAAAAATTGACAAGGTATTCTGACTTCCAGACTTCCCTGGATGGTATCCCTAACAAAGCATTTACACTATTTGCACACATCATCAAATACATGGAGAGAAGTCTGAAAGATTTTGAGTTAGCTGATAAAAGTAAAGCAAATGAGGAACTGAAATCACACTTTTAGAGTTATAACTTTTATTTAGACTTACAGGAAAACCAATAAATTAAAACATTTTTTGAGAAGTAGGTCATCCGCCTTTGAAAAGGAGAAGAGATATGTTGACAACAGAACTATCCATCAATATTTATAAACAACAACCAGTCAAGAAAAGGTCTTACAGATGAAAGTGCATGGATGTTTATAAAAAACATGAGAGGAAAAAGTAGAAAGACTAGAGAAAGCAAAACAAAGACACACAGCACGAGGGACCTGGTTAGTGTAAAACTGATGAAAGCATAATAATAGAAATCAGGTGGCTGGAGAACAGAGGGGAAGAAAAAGGACATGGTCTGCCTAACTACAATATCCCTACACAGAATCATTGGTTACCAAACACTCAAAGTTGAACCATGCCTTGTCATTTTCTACGGCATTTCTCAGTAGTAATTTTCAGCAAAATCAAGTGGTTTTGTATCTATGTAATACTGTGACAGTTGCCAGGCTTTCTTGAGAGTAAAATACATTATTAACATTAACAGAACACAGAACAGCCATTAGCATCTCTGTTTCAAAATCATGGGATCCAAGCATTGGCAAATACAGGAAGGGATAGGGTGTGTTTGTGAATGTTCACATCACTGTCAGTATAGCCATGGAAGTCTTGGGTTACTGAGCAGAATTCTCCCATATTACATGAAACATTACCAAGAGCAGTAGAGCTGTGTGTGTAGGAGTTTGAGGGAGTTAACTTCAGTCACTTTCTCATGTGCCTAAGTTCATTGTGACAGACTGAAGTACTACTAGACATTGGAGTTTGTCTGGTACACTGGAATTTCATGCACAGCTCCAGTTTTTCTTCCCATTTAAGTTTTCAGTATATGCTATCTTCATGCTGATACAAGTTAAGTAAAGTAGTCTTTCTGAACTTTGAAAAATACCTTGGATCCTGAATTCTTACAAATGTTCAGTACAGTAAAAACTATTACACTACTAATCTGTCAGACTCCCATCAAGCCCCTCAGATAATTAAAAAATAAAATCTTGACTCCAGTGGGTTAATCTAATTAGGTAAGTTCTGACCACATTCCTGAGTATACAGCTCTTTAAAATTCCCAAGAGGAAATAATTTCCAAAGCCAATACAACAGGATCTAAAAAGCATACTTTATGTTAGGTCTGTAAATGAGGTTTTTCTTTCCTTTTTTATTTTGCAGTTAAGTTTTTCTTCAAAGAAAGGTAAATGTTTGACAGTTGGTCTGAGTACAGCTCAAACTCTGGCATCAGTAAGTTACAAGCTGGGAGGGCACCCAAAAAGCAGTAGAGAGTTTGCTACTCAACAGTGGAAGTATTCTTTCCCTGCCCATAATGGGACAAAGCAGGAGACACTCCAGAACAAGACCTAGGAATGGTGATGTTGAACTCTCCTCTCCCCTCCCAACTATTTGGTTTCACATCACCTCAAGGCTTAACAGAAGCCTACTGCTCTTGTTGCAGGATGTAATTTTGAAACAATTGATGTTTACTCTAAAACCTCCACCAGAGTCCAAATTTTCCACTGCAGTGGCCTTCAGGAACAGGAAAAAAGGGATCAATTCTTCAGAAACCTTTTTCAGTGCAAAAAGACCTTAGGTTTTTTGCTATATTAACTTCAGGTTTGAAAAGCATCTTGCAATGGTGTAAACAGAGGAGAAGATTCTAGAGTACAATTATGAGAAGAATTACAGGGACTTGCATTCTGTTTCTAGTGCTATTTTGTACAAAGGGTCCTGGTTTGGTTTACCTTTTCCATCTCTAGAACTTTATCTTGCATCTCCTTCAGGGCACAATGGGATTCTGCTTCACTCAGCCTGGCTTGGACCAGCTCTTTTTCCAGCTGTAGCACAAAGTCTTCACTGTATCGTGAACTGCATTTATGCTACAAAGTTTGCAGAAATATATTTAGTATGAAGCACAGATGGTTTGCCAGATTTGGAGTGAAACGTACATTCAAATATTTAACATGAGGAATACTAGCTTAAGATCAACAGAAATGCTTACCTTATACAAGTCTACTAACATGTCCATCCAGACTGCTAACAATAAGAACCCTAATGCTATGCCCCTCAAACAACTGCACCTCCACATAGCCAAATGTGGAAGACCAAACTGAGTCTCCTATTAGTACTGATGAGCAACAACTCACACTTGTCATTGTTACCCAAAATTCTCAAAGGATCTGTGATTATTTTGTAATACGCAAAGATGCTTAGGAAAGACTAGCTAGTTACAAGGTGAAGACAAGTATCTTTCTTGATCCCTACTCAAACTTTGATTCAACAGAAGCCTTCCATAATCTTGGATCTAAAATAAAGCCATGTATACTTCAATGCACAATCACTTTGGTTTGCCCCTTTCTTCCACTCCAACCCTTGGCTCTCGCTTGCTCACACTATACAAACTCCTTTTTAGACTCTCCTCCAGGGTAAGCCCTGTGAACTTACAAGAAGAATCCAGGCACAGGTAGCAGTGTATCCCCTTCTAAACAGACAGCACAGGCCCAATCTACAAAGAAATTTGGTTCTTTCCATACAGATCTTACTCCAAGACTATCCCCAGACAGTTTTACAGATCCAAACACATTCCCTCAGTAATAAAGCAGCAGTTCAGAACTTACAGTCAACCTTTCCATATTTTGGGGGAAGGGGAAAAAACCCACAGTTCTGCTCAAGGAAGTTAATTTACCATTAACTTATTTCATGATTGTTGATTAAGCAGAATTAAAAGTGAAATCTATCCTCTCCTTTTGCTTGCTAAAGCACAATTTCATGAAACTGCATCTTTCAACAGATACAACTGAAGTCACACTAAGTGTTTGTACTCAAAAGCCCCACTTAACTTTTTCCTCCAGTCAATAGTTACAAAATAAATTTTATTTCTTTCTTAGGTCACTTTAAAATGACTTAAGATTCACCACAGATTGTCAGACTTGCTTGACAGGCCATGTCATCCTAGATCAGCAGCATTTAAATTTCTGTTTTAGAAAAAAAAAAAAAAGAGTCTTGAAATCCCCAAAATGCAGTTGCCTTTTTACTGTGTATGCACAGCTACCCTGAAAACTAAGCTTAAAGGGAAATCATTTAATATATCTTTGGGGCCATTAACTACATTGTGAAGAATACTATACTTGGATTCATAGATGAAGTTTTATTCAATTAATAATGCAACTTTAAAATCCATAGAGTATTCGTTATACTCAAGATACAAGTATTTCCTTCTTTATTTTAGGTTTGCATCAAACCATTTAGTTTTATGTATCTAAAACCAGTTTACAAAATCAACAGAAAAGTCTTCAGTTCCATATGCTTCTGTTTGGGTATGACATCCCCTGACCTTTAATGCACAAACTGAAGGTAAACAAGACAGAGCAAGTATTTACAACATGTAACTACATGCTTAAGGAAGTGTTTTTAATTTATTTTTATACTTCTGCATGCCAGCTAAGCCTTTCATCATGACTTACAGTACAATCCAAATTCATCATCTAACACTAATTAACCTTAGTGTTACAATAAATTGTATTTCTTATATATATGTCTATAGGGATCTATAATGGAGGGGATATATACAAAGCATTAAAAGGCAAATATAACTCATGCAGGTAGTCTTTAGTGTCACTGAGACTATCCATTTAAGTGCTCATCCTACTTAACTGCAGTTGAACACAGAATGCTTAGATTCACATATACATACAAAGATCATATTATATTTAGTATTAGTTTTCCCTTATACAATACTAAATTAATTCATATTTTTTTCAACTCACATAGTGTCTTTGCCTCACCAAGCAGTGGAGGTAGCCCTGATTTGACTGTAAGGAGAGGATGGGTGGACAATGCTGATGCATTTCTACAACTGCTTTACACAATATGGGAGCATAAGTAGCATATGTAACAACATGAGGAGAAGAGGCAACAGCTCTTTCTGATTCCCAGGCTGTTTGTACAAGTTCATCAGATGATACACAACAGCACCTTAAATGGACTTTACGTTTCTTGTTCCAGATTCTGCTTATGATACCTACGGAACAAGAATGAATGCAGTGTGCTTTCCTCAGTTAAGAAGTCCTCTTGAGTGAAAACAGCAGATTTGAAGAGCTGAATACATCCTGATTTTGCAACAATATGTAAGTTTACTCTAAAGTGTTTTGGAGTACAAAAATCTAACTGATGTTTGTCAAATAATAAGTAATGGAGACTGTAAAAAAAGTTACTTATCCAGTTTCAGGCATAAATCATGCCTTCTTTAAATCTGTCTTTAGATTTCACCTAAGAAATATGTTAGGAGTATTTATCTATTTAGCCACAAACTTTAAATCAAGTCTTGATAGATTGGCAAAAAAACCACAGCCGAGATCAAAACAGATTTAAAAAACAATACTCACAAGTTCAAAGGTATGATTTTTGCTCCTTAAAAAACCACACAATTTTAATAATTCAGTATATAAAGATAACATGAGTTTATAGTCAAAACAATGTTTGAAAACTACTTTAAGACTATTTTATAAAAGCAGGTTTTTTGCTATACTTGCCTTAAGCCCTAGAATTTGTGACAATCACCACAACGTGAATCCAGATTTCCAGGCACCAGCCAAACATTTTAACCACAGTAACACTGTTTTTCTTAGCTGTGTTGAAAAGATGTCTGTAATATAAAGCACTAAAAATGCAGTTCTACAGCCATTTACTTCTGAAAGAAACAACTTCTTGCTTGGCTTCACACAAATGGATTTATTTTCCTCCCAACTTTTCTTAAAAATCTCAGAAATAGTAAGATCTCAGACTGACACAACCATTTCTAATACTATTTTGACCGATGACAGATTATTACATGTAATTACAGAGTGCTTTTCTAGCATTCTATATTGAAGGACAGATTGTTCAGCAGCTGCCCAGCTAACTTTGTTTACACAGTTAAGCACTGACTGTAGTATGTTACTACATACAGTATTTTTATTTTCTGGTTTGTGGTTGGAAATCAGAACATAATATTAAAAAAAAGTATATCGTAAAATAAAGCGAAGCCTTCCCTAAGGTTGCAACACTCATTTACAAGCATATATTCCCTATATCAGTTATTATGCTCTTTATTATTATTAGTCATTTTAGCATGAGTTTCTGAAAAGAAACTATGCATTATGGAATTGCTGTAACAGTAACCACATACATGGCTATAAATTACCTTTGAAAATGCATATGCTGCCATCTGAATGTTTAGTCAATTAAAATTCTATCTTCATATAATACACTTGAAGAGCTTTCTTCAAAATAAGATATGAAATTATTTTAGCTTGAACTGCCTCTCATTTCTTAGATTCTGTTTTCAAGCATTCAGACTGTAAACTGTGTAATCACTGAAAATTACAGTATCACTGGGAAAGACTAAGGCTTGTGTTCTGAAGGTATGTTTAACTTGCAGAAATAATTATTCATTTTTATACATCCAGCAGAAGCTACCCTTTTTCATTTAGAAACAACAGGAGAAAAAGAACAGAAAAGCATTCAGCACAACTAGCAGGAGCAGGTTAAACAGGCTGATTACCCTCACCCTTATTTCCTCAAATACCATCACTCTCAGCATGCCTCAAAAGAAAACCTTCTGTATTCTCTTAAAGTCAGGCACAACTTCCTCTATGCAGTTCTTGCTTTACTAGCAGCATGAGGAAGAAGCCGCCTTCCTCTTAATCTTTTGGTTACCCATCACATCTAGAAGCTGTTGGCAAGTTTCTGTACTTAAAGATTAGACGAGCCGAAGACAGATTAGTACCGTTCTCTTCAAAACCATTCAGGCAAATATTTAGGTAGCTGAAGCACTGAAACTCCAAGAGCACTTCAGAATATTGTTAGCTTTATTAATTATTTTTTCTTAGTTATCAATATAAAAAAGTGTACAGGTTATACACTGTTTTTAAAACCTTTACACTGACAGAGTTGCTCTCTACTAAGATGTAAAAGTTTGCATCCAAAGTAAGGTTAAGTATAAAGTCTCCATCTCAAACTTTATTTTCTACTTCCTTTTCCCCTTCCAAATGACCTTAAATATATTCAGAAATATGTAGAATACATTTAATGACGCTCAATACATACTTTTAAGCCATCCAACTTGTGCTATCAAATCTCATAGAATAGATAGAATAAACCCTAGATTATATTTAAATACAAATGCATAACCTTTTTACAAAGGATATTTTAGCCTTCTTAGAAATACCATGGTTTAAATAATATCTTTGCTACCAACAAAACAAAAAGCCCTACTCTTGGTTCTCCTGCCTCATGATTTACAAGCAAACGCAGGTTGTGGTTGTTTGGGGGTTTTGTTTTTTGGTTTGTG